AAAAGTTGATTTCATGAAAGTTGAGAATAAAATAGGGGATTCCAAAGGCTAGGAAGAGTAGGAAGAACCAGGGGTGGGGAAAGAAAAATTTGATTAATGGATACTAAATTGCACTAAGTAGGAGTAAGAAATATTGGTGGGCTATTTTACAGCAGGTGACTATACATAAGACTAGGTGGGTACTTATATCTTAAAACTGTAGAAAAAGGGATTTTAAAAACGTTTTCACCATGAAGAAGTTATAACAGCTAAGTAAATATGTTTAACCTAATTCTACAATATATATCAAAAAATCACATATTACTCAAAGTAATATACACAAATATTATATCAGTTGAAAAAATTAGGACAAAAATAATAGTCTTTTAAAAATTCAACTCTATTGTCCAAATTTCTCCATTTATTCATTCTAATTTATCAGACTTCTTGGCAGTTTTCATCTAATAAGCCATTGTCTTCTTGAAATAATCTTTTGTCTACCTAAACATCTTATTCTTTAATTTTCCTTCTGCTTCATTTGCCTTTACTTTTCAGGGAAGTTCCCAGGTCCTCCTCCTCTAGCAAATATCTAGGTATTAATAAATCCTGAGGTTTTATCCTAAAGTTTAGTTTCTTCTTTTTGAACTATTTACCATTAATTACATCAGTGTATACTGATTTAAGTATTTGATGCAATAGATGTAAAATAATGGGCAAACTTTTCATTCATTTTCTGACTGTACACTTTTTTGCACTGTGACTATATTCCATCAAGAGAACAAGTTTGTCTTTCCACTCCTTGTATCTGAGCTTAGTCATGTGACATTCTTTGACCAATGAATCATTCACAAACTTGATGCAGAGGCTTGAATGGTGTTGAACAGTGGGGTTAATCCTCTGACTACTGAGAATTCTTCCACCAACATGTGATAAAGTCATGACCAAACAGCATATCATAATCATACCAATAGCCAGAATAAACTACAAGATTAAGATTCATGAGTGAATCATGGACTGACTAGTCCCAGATAATTTGCCACTGATGGTTCTCCATGCAGGGTAACCACAGACTTTTAAACACAAAATCCCATAATTAAAATTTTGTCTTGAAACTTAGTCTTGAAGATTAAGCCCTGAAGCTTTCTTTTCTTTCATCCTTTAACACTATGAATTCTATTTTCAAAATATTTCTTAAGTATATCCAATTATTTCAGTGATCATGACTCTTAGTGTCTTTACCTGTCCCTGACTTTGAATAAGATATGCTAAACTGGCCTCTTTGTTTCCATTCCTGTTAATCTCCATGAGGCAACTGGAATAATTTTTAATAGAGTAGTTCTTTTAATTGACTTCCTTGAAGTGACTTGTTATATTAACAAATATTTTTCTCCATAAGTCATAAAAGATTGTTGTTAAGCTACTATCTATTAAACTTGAACATTTTTTCCCATTTTGAGGTATGATTATCAAGTCATTGATGCTCTTTCCAAACCTGTTTATGCAAATTTTGGGTTTAATAACATTTAATTACATATAAAAAGAAAATATGATTATAAATATGTTTTTATGGAAACAAGTCAATTGCTGTGGGAAGGCTGTTGTAAGTATAATGCTGAAATTTTGCTCTTTAATTACATCTGAGAGATAATTATTAATAATTATTAAAAATAATTGTAAAAATCCAGAACAAAATGGAATGCATTGCTATTTTAGTGTATTTTGATTTTTTGCTCCACTTTCAAGAAACTGAATTGGCAATCATAGGTGACTTATTGTGGATTGTGATTTATACATCAAAGTGTGAAAAACTCTAGTGAATGGCCTGTATTTGAAGAAAGAATATTGGCTGGGCTTTTTAGAATACATTGACCAATTCTATTATATTTATAGGTTTAAAAGGAAATATTTAAAGTTGTATTATCATTTCTATGATACTTGTTTTGTCTGTCTTTCAATTAATGTCTGACTCTCACCTCTAGTAGAAGATATCCTGCTATCCATAAACTGCACTACTTTATTTCCCGATTATAATCATTCAATCCTTCAGTGGCTTATCACTAAAATGACAAATCCAATAGCTTCCAAGAGCCTTACAGACCAGACTGCAGCCATTTCTACAGATGCCTTTCATGTCATTCACTCCCACTCTCCCTCTATGCTCCAGGCACACTTGTCTAAGTGGTCTTTGAAGACACAAAGCTCTTTCTCACCTCGAGCCCTTCACATACAACTATATAGACCTGGTATGTTCTTTCTATCTCTTTGGTGTCCAGCTCAGTATTCCTCAGATCTCATTCTTAAATGAAAATTTTTATATAAGCCATTCCTGACTATCAGATCTAAAGTTGATGTCCCTTATTCTAGGTCATGGTAACTTTTGTTTCTTTCACTTCATTTACCATGTTTAAAAAGCTTTATATTTATTTATGTTTTAGTGAATGCCAATCAAAAAATCTCCATTATTTGAGAGTTGTCTGAAACAGTAGTAATCTTTGTGGCAAATGAACAAGAGAGGTCAGTGCCTTAATTTTCAAGACTGATTAAGAGAAGTGACTATCCAGTAAACTAGCCAGAAATTTAACAGTAGGCTTTGGGAATGAGATAGTCACAATGAGTGGAGATACACTGTTAGAGAAAGCAAAGGAAATCTTAGTTATTTTCATATCACTGCTTAAATGAGAGGGCATGTAAATAAACAGAAGAGAATGTTTAATTTTTTGAACTTTGAATATGATCCTCAAAGAACACATGGTTCCATCTAAAAGCAAAGGGGAAAAGATGTACTACCTCAAAATGTTTGAGTACAACTTCTAGTTAACTATACTGATACAGGATTGATATCTTGGAAGCCAGGATCAAAACAAAATAAGATTTTAAAAAAATTGAGGCAACAGCATGGGTATACCACAGAGGAGAAAGTCTCCACAGAAAAGTCACTAAACAAACAAGCATTGACAGTCCATGCAGAAGAATGAAAATCCAGAGTCGTTAAGACATACAAATATAATTTCTAGTTTCCAACAAAAATATGCAAAAGAATATGAAAGTATGTTTGGGTCCCTGGTGTTGGACTTAGCAAAGACTTCATAATAGCTATTATAATCATATCAAAAAACTAAAATGACCATATTTAAAAAATAAAGGAAAGTACAGCATCAATGATTCTTCACACATAAAAATTCTAATTAAACATAAGAAATGACTAAAAAATGAAAATTCTGGAGTTAAAAATTATAGTAACCAAAACAAATGATCAAAAATTCCTAAAGAGATTTTAAAAATTAACATGATTCATAATATCCAAAGACTATAAACAATCCAAAGAGCCATCTATTGGTGAAGGAATAATGTATAATACATACATATAATGAATTATCATTCAGCAATAAAAAGGAAAATAGCATTCACATAGTTTACATGAATGAACTTCAAGCATATGTTATGTAAAGAATCAAGATGAAAAAGACCATATAGTACATGATTTCCTTCATATAAAATGTCCTTAAAACAAGCATTAGAAAACAGATTAGTTATTGCCTAACATTGGGGGAGGGAGTCAAAACTGTTTACAAATGGGGATTAGAGTTCTTGTTTGACAGTTAAAATATCCTAAAATAGGGATAAAATATTAAAATCATTAAAAGTACACTCAAATGAGTGAATCAGGTTATGCTTAAGTTACACAGTCATAAAACAACTGAAAATACTGTTTCATACCAATATGAAAGGAAGGCTGTATTTGTTTTGTTTGTTTGCTTTTATCACTGTGACCAAAGTACCAGAAAATAATAATTTAAAGGAGGATAGTTTATTTTGGTTCACTTTCCAGAGGCTTCTATCTATAGTCAGCTGGCTTCACTGCTTTGAGACTTGTAGTGAGGTAGAGACATGATGGTTGATGTGGCAGAGGAAAGCTATTCTCCTCTTAGTAGCCAGGAAGCAGAGAGAGTAAGGAAGGGGCTGGAGACAAGATATGTCCTTCTAGTGAACTCCTTCAGTGATCAACCAACTTCTTCCAGCTAGGATCCACTTCCTACTTTTTCCGCCACCTCCCATTAATGCTATCAATTTATAAAACTCTCAGTGAATTAATCCACTGATGAAGTCACAGTCCCATAATACAATTACTTTCATAAAGCACTACCTCTGAAAATTGCTGCCCTTGGGGCCAAGCCTTCAACACATGAGCCTTTGGGGGACATTCAAGATCCAAACCATAACAAGAACTTCTCAGGATCAAGATGCATTACAAATACATTGCAATAATAATAACCATCATAGTATTAATGCATTGTGTATTTTGTCTTTATTATGTAGCATTATTTGAAGTCCTTAATTTATAATCATATTATATGTAACTTTCTAAGAAAGGAAATAAATAACATGGTACTAGTAAATGAATACATTCAGATTAAATAATTTTCTCAAGGGCGCTTACAGAGGTAGCTTGACCCTTCATTTAACAGACTCAACTGCTACTTTTTATAGTCTGTGTCTGTGTGTGTGTGTGTGTGTGTGTGTGAGAGAGAGAGAGAGAGAGAGAGAGAGAAGAGAGAGAGACAAAGAGAGAGAGATAAGATGTAAGATTTATACTGAAATACATACATCAAATACAATGCAATGCTATCATATATGTATTTTTACCTGCATAATTATTGGATAAATACATGTAAATAAAAGAATTGTAAAATGATCAATTCCTCAACAATTAAGATTTTCATATCTTATAAACCATTCCTAAGCTTCAATTTAGTAACAAAAATGGTCAGGCTGAAAGAATGGATCCCTTTCCTTTGTTTAACACATAAAAATTTTATAAAATGCTGATATTCTGACTTTAAATAAATTCATAAGCTTTATTATTGCCTATTAGAAGAGGTGTTTTGCTGACACAAAGATAAAATAAATTATTTATAATCATTAAATCTTCATTGTGTAATAGTTTTCATACAGTGTTTATCCAAGGCAGGTTAAAAAAAAAAAAAAAAAAAAAAAAAAAAAGATGCAGTGGAAAATCTTACCACACCAATGGAAAAGTAATTGTTGATGATACTGTAAGGCACTGGGTCTCCTTTCTCATCTTTGTCATTAGGTATGACTTCAAACTTCCATCTGTCCAACATGATTTCTGTGCTGGTTTCAATGTCTTTTAGGATTTTCATCAGATTCTCACCTTCATAACCTAATGAAAAAAAAATTATCTTGAGAAAAAAAGCTAAAAAGTAACAAAAGCTGTTATTTGTGTGTTTACATGTATTCATGGATATAAATTATTCTAAAGCTAAATAAGGCATTTAAAGTTAATTCTACCACCAAAGTAAGAATTAACTATAATCTTACCATAAGCATACCAAGATTTTCTTAGCTTTTATTTGTAACACATATTTCTGTTCTATGGTTCAAATTTTCAGTACACCCAATTGCCAAATGAACATTTCTGTTGTATATCCCCACAAAGGTTTCAATACATTCAAACCACCTTAGCTAGATATCACCCTCCACCCAGTTGCTGAACTTAGATGCCATTTTAGACTTTTCATTCCTCCTTTATTCTCTCCTATAGCAACAGAGGAATTTTAGTTTAAATAAAAAGATCCTGCTCTTTTTTGTTCATTGTATTTTTTTCTGTCTATTCAGGTGCTCTTTGTCTCTTTAACTAGTTTCCTTCTATTCCTTCAGCATGGTTTTGATAACACTTCTTTTTTGAAGCCACCCTTCTAAAATAACAGATCAGATGCCCCTCCTCTACAGTCCCACAGATGCAGGTCTCAACATCAGCCTTAGCTTAGAACGGACACACTGCACTACTGTTATTTGTGTTTTCCTCACTACAAGCTCTGCTTGCTAAATCTTCATGAATCAATATTTTAATGAATTTGCTACACATGAACAAAAAGGCCCAAACAGACAGTGTTTGTCTAACAATTTTCTTAAGTTTATCTGTGGGTATATATTAGTAGTTAAAACTATAGCCTCATCTGCTGTGTTACTGTTTTTGTTTCTCCCTCAGTATTAGTTTCCTCTCCTGTCAAATCTAACCTTGGTTGGGAAGATAAAATGAGACATGGCATAAAAGAGACCCAAAACTTAAAATTTTTCAACAATAACACTAAAGATAACATGAGAATTTGAAATGTTGTATTAAGTTAAACTCTCTTTTGTGCATGTGTGCATATACACACACCCACATACATAAAATATACTTCAAAATAATATTTGAGTGGGCAAATATTTTTAATAGCTTTTTTTTGCACATTCAACTTTTGGCTTGTAACTTGTTAATTTACTTGTTAAACAAGAAAATATCAAAGATTATTTGTCCTCATTAGAGCTATTAGCATACATATATTGAAAAAACTCAGTGGGTTAAAAGGAAAAAAAAAAGGTACTCTCGTATGTCAATATTTTCTAAAACATAGTAAGTTATATTAAAAATGGATTTGCTTAATTATTTATAAGAAGATGAACACAGTCCCACACTAAAAATACTACTTTTGGAGACAACCATTAACTCTTACCTTTCAGAGATTTAAAAAATAATTATGAAACATTTTATGCATACAGCAAAAGTACAATGAACAATAATTACATAGAAAGTATTGACTATTTTTAAAAACATATGTCTGATGCAGTGGTGCATCCCTAAAATTCCATCAATTCAAGATTCTGAGGCAGGAATGTCCCAAGTTTGAGGCCAGCCTTAGCAACTTAGCAAGACCCTGGCTAAAAAAAGGGGGGTCGGAGGTGTAACTCAGAAGTAAAACATCCCTGGGTTCAATCCCCAGTAACAAAAGAAAATAAAGATTACATATATATATATATATATATATATATATATATATATATATATGGAGTTTTAAAATGTGAATATTAATAATATATACATAATTGAATTCAGTGCCAAAACATTGAATGACTTCAATTTAAAGACTAAAATAATCACATTTACTTATATCAGATTTTTTAATAGTTCTAGTAATATATATATATATATATATATATATATATATATATATACATATATATTTTTTTAACTATAAGTTAGCTGGGTGTGGTTATTCATACCCATAATCTCAACAGCTGAAGAGGCTGAGATAGGAGGCTCACAAGTTGTAAGCCAGCTTCAGTAACTACTGGAGGCCCTAAGCAACTTACCGAGATCCTGTATCAAAATATAAAATAAAAGGCACTGGGGTATAGGCTCAGTGGTTAAATGCCTGTAGGTTCAATCCCTGGTAACAGCAGCAACAACAAAAGAATAAGAATTTCTAGTCATCGAAATAAAAATTATATATTTATGTGTGTGTGTGTGTGCATTTCTCTACTGAATTAAATTTAAAAGCAGTTAATTATATTCACTTATTTTCCAAGTTTTCCTTTTGTTTTAGAATAACCAGGATGGGTAGAGGAACAAGATGGCGGAGTATAGAAAGGAAGAAGGTCCAGCAATGCCTCAGCACCAGACTTAGAAAGCAGGCGAGTAACAAAGGAACCTCAATGAAACATAATACTGACCTGTAAAAACAAAACACAGAGCTACAGAAAGTTGGTAATCTGAGCACAAGTAATACTACCTTAGAGATGTACAGCTCCAGCTGCCAGTGGAGGAAATGCAGGAGTGCAGACAAAGGAGCCGCGTGACCAGCAGATAAAGAAATTTTAAAATAAAGAAAAATCGACTTGGGGAAACCTGCAGTTTACTAATTTTAATAGAGTTGGTAGGGTAAGCTTCTCTGGGAAAACAAATCCTAAGTGGTCCACTGAGGTGAAAGCGCTTGGTGGGGGCAGAAAGCCCTGTACAGGCAGACACAGGAATGCAACATGGACAATCCTCCCCCGGGGCGGAGCCCGGAACCTGCGGGCAGGTGAGGCAAACTTCCCGGGAACTGGAATCTGGCCCCATGCAGCTTGCACTGCTGCTTACAGAGATGGGACCTTGTAAACTCATAAGGGAAGTTACCAGCAGTCGGAGAACAAATTCCCAAAGGTGCCTGAACCTGAGAGACTGAAATGGAACCAAAGAATGTTTTAAGTGAACCACTTAGCATCTGGATCCCAAGGGAGAAAAATCCCATAATGGCTGGCACCCCATAAGAGCTACTGTGAGGAGTCTCACTGTGGCCACACAATTGCATCTGATTCTGGGAAGAAACCGATAATTCATATCCATAATATTGAAGGTAAAACCTGCCGAGGCTTGGTCCCTATGTTCTAAAAGTGGATTTTTTCCAGATGCCCCAGAGATCCAAAATCCATCAGTGATAGAAGCTCCATGTCAGTATACAGAGTAGATCAAATCTCAAATACCTACCCACAGAACTCCAAAGTCCAAACCCCCCAAACGGGAAATTTCAATCTAGAAGTCTGCATCATCTACACTATAGGATTACATAATTCATCAGGACTCCCCATTCTATCCCACCCAATACTGGGAGATTAGAAGGTGAGCACTACTATAATTAGCTGGCAGCTAGGTGAGGAACACAAGGACAGTGGCCAAAAATAGGGAGTTAAAAATAAAAGTAAAGACTGAAAATCCATCGCTGCCTACAGATTTGACCACTGCAGTAGAAACAAGTTCTTTCTCTCTCATTAAGACTTTCTCTTTTTCTTTCATTTTATCTTTATTTTTTTCTTTTCCTTTTCCTTATTTCATTCTTCCTTCACATTCCTATTTTTTATTTTTTAAATTTTAAAATATTTTTCATTTTTTTAAAAAATGATTTCATCATGTTGTAGTATTATTCATTTTTTAAAAAATTTTGTGTGATTTTCTGTGTATGTAAATGTGCATGTGTGGTTGTGTATACTCACACTGCAAGGATAGGTTTGAATATATGTATACACACACAAAGAAATTTACCTCAACATCATAAACATTCATGTAACTTACACATTAATGGCCCTCTCTTGCATTATTTAATTAATCATTATTTAGCCTACATTATACTTAGGTCAATCATATGAGACCTTTTATCTAAGACCTTATGGTCTTACATAAAAAAGAATAACTAATTCTAAAATCAGTACAATATAGGAAATAATTAACATCAGAGCCGAAATTAGTGAAATTTCGTATAAAAATATACAGGATCAATGCAACAAAGAAGACAAAATTGATAGACCCTTAGCCAATCTAACCAAAGAAGAGAGAAAACCCAAATCAAAAAAATTACAGGTACAAAAGGAAATGTCAACACACACTCTTCTGAAATCCAAAGGATCATCAAAAACTATTTTTGAAAATGTATATTCCAATAAAACAGAAAAACTAAAAGTCACTGAGCAATTTCTAGACACATAAGACCTGTCTAAATAAAACCAAGAAGATATAGAAAACATAAACATACCAATATCAATTAATGACATTGAAACATCAATTAAAGGCCCTCCAAAAAAGAAAAGCCCAGGACCACATGGATTCTTGGCTGAGTTCTATTATAACTTGAAAAAGAACGTACATCAGTCTCTCTTAGATCATTCCATGAAATTGAAAGGGAGTAAACATTCCCAAATATGTTCTATAAAGCCAATATCACTGTAATACCCAAAACAGAAAAAGACACAACAAGAAAACTATAAGACTAATCTTATTGATGAATATAGATGTAAAAATCCTTCACAAAATATTAGTAAACCATATTCAGCAATACAGCAAGAAGATAACATACCATGATAAAGTGGATCACATTTCATGGATCCAAGGATGGTTCAACATACTCAAATCAAAAAAAGTAATCTACTACTTAAACAGAATTAAGGACAGAAATCACATAATCATCTTAATAGATGCAGAAAAGGTCTTTGATAAAATCCAGCACCAATTTACGGTAAAATTGCTGGAGAAGCTAGGGATAGAAGAAATTTACCTCAACATCATAAAGGCTACTTATGACAAACCCAAAGCCAACATCATATTGAATGGAGAAAAACTAAATGCATTTCCTCTAAAATCAGAAAGAAGACAAGGGTGTTCACTCTTACTACTGCTATTGAGTGTAGTCCTCAAAACATTAACCAGAATGATCAGGCAAGAAAAAGAAATCAGAGGGCTACAAATAGAAAAAGAAGAAGTCAAACTATCTCTGCTTGATGATGACATGATTCTACATCTAGCAAACCCGAGTCTTCTACCAGAAGAAAATAGCAGATATAAGCTCAACACTCATAAATCAATAGCTT